TGTTATTTATTGCATATAAATTAGTTATCTCCTTTTTTCGATCGTTCGTTTTTAAGTTAGTTATAAGATAATGCAACAAAAGGGGGTTTTCCTTCAACGCATTTTTCAAATAAAATGAATTTTATAAAATAAAAAATAATGCTTATTTATATGATTACTTAATTTGAAAACATATTAAAACTAATGTATTTCCAAAAAAACAACTTTCATAAATAAAAAAAATGTATTTCGTTGTATGTTTTATTATTTGTTCCTATAGTTTTAAATGATTACGGTAACCAGCTAGTTGAATGGACAGACAAATTGTGTGAAATAACTACTATTAAAATAAATATGAAATAAATGTGAAATAAATAATTAATGTTATATGTAAATTAAATATCAAATATTTTAAAACCCATATTTAAAATTTGTGAAGAAAATTTTTGTAAAATTAAGTACATATAGAGTATAAGTTGCATTACATATTAAGAGATATAGACATTTATCATATACTTTATTTTAGTATATTTAAATTAAAACAAAGCTGAATACTATTAATGTGTGTCTATTTTTAGGCGTATGTATATATAAACATATGTAATGCTATATACTAATTTGTAAATTTTTGTTACTTCAAGCGGATTGCTAAAATCGATATTAAAACAAAGTGCAAATGTTTTTAGAATACAACTCTGTTCGAAATTTTTTACCTTTTACCTTGACATAAAAACACATCGTCCACCGAACTTTTTAAATTGTTTAGTAAATAAAAATTTGTTCGAAATGATTCAAAACTGTGAAATAATTTTTTAGTTATGCATTCCTAAAAGTATTATTTAATTTAGTTTTCTATAATTTAACATTAAAATTGTTATAGTTTTTTATATGTGATGGGACATTATGCCATGTACATGACGTTATGTTGCAGCCCGCAAGGATCTGCATGCCTAGTATTTTTTAAGAGTGTTTCACGGAACTCGACGGGTGAATTCAAGACGTAGACCCGGCCGTTCTTGGAACCTTTTAAGTTATTTTAATACAGCGAAAAACGTGTACATTATCAGGTCAATAAGATAGATCAAAGTAGTTTTAATCCTTGCCTGCTTGTGTCAACACAAGCTAGATCTTTAGAATTTGGGCAACGAATTGTTTTTACTGCACTTCAATCAAATGCAGTATGTTTCTCTCATCATATGGAGAAAGTTTCAATATAATTTTTTATAATTTTCATACATGAAACTAGGATATACTTGGATTGTATGATATAGAGCAATTCTTAAGTATGAAAAAAATCATCCATGATTTAGATATAACTTGTATGAAAAATATTTCATTTTGAGGACAAATTGTATTATTCGTAACTAAAATTATATAACATGAAAAATGTAGCCAAAATAAGAATCTTTCTATTGTCTAGTTTATTTATTATATTCTTATTAGTTTATTATTTCACTGCTTATTACTGGTGGATGGAAACAAAATTTATATTCCTTTTAATCCAAATAATTTGAAATTATATTTAGTACTATTATATTCGCTATTTTCGGGCTACATATACACTTTGAAAGTACCATTAAGTTGTCCATTTGCGTTCGTTTTTGAATGCATATGTCCTATATGTTTTCAATTTCCTCTCTTCTGATTTGTGTTTATCCATTTATTGGTTTTTTTTTTGATATCATCTCTCCATCTTGTACAAATCGTTCAAATTTTTTCCTTATTATCCTGTGTACTATACACTGGAGATATCTTGTGCACCTATTGGATTTGTACTTTGCTTTGCTTGATCTTTCCATTAGTTTTAGTAATAAGCTTTGTTTTGTTGGAAAGTTTTGTATACTGTGGAATATTCTTTGAATAAATAAAAATACAGAACTAAATTTCGTTCTTTGAAGAGAAACAGTTAAGACTAAAGTATATATTCTGCTTTAGACAATGTTTCCTACAGAAAAAAATTAAATCATTAGCACTATTAGTGTTATACAAAAAAAAATTTCTTTGATTTATTGAGATTTCAATAACGCAGTTATTTCAATTTATAATTCAGACATGAAAATTTCTTGATACCAGATGCTAAGCATGTGATAGCAGATACTAAAGCGGGAATATATACGTTATGCACGATAGCGGAATATACTCAATCATATTTATATGGAATGCTAAAAATAGAAGAAAATTGGAATTTTTAGATGTCATTAGATGTTGCAGGAGAAGAAACAAGTAACGAAACTGGACACAACAATCCACCGTTTGGTACATATGGCTATGTTTGAAAGACTTATAGCAAAGAGACATTATTCTTTACAACAACATCTGCAAAAATTGAATAAACGTACTTGTGTAAAAAAATTATTTCGATCTTAGTAAATGTTGCTATGATCTAACAATTAACAGTTACGGAACCTCTAGATCATCCAAGTCTACTGAAAACTAAAAAGTTATACAATATATCATGTATAATGTTATATACAAGTATGAAAATAGACTATATATTTTCTTATAATCTTTGTATTAGTGCTAATACTAAATTAGCACTAATGGTATTAATGTACTAATCTAATCAAATATTTTATTGCAATAACAGAATGAAATTTCTGAACAAAGAAGAAGAAAATGATGTACAATGTGAAAAAAATGCTTTATTTGGACAAATCTTAAAACAGATTTATTTTTAACCATTAATGTGAAGTTTATATAATTTGTTTAAGTCATCTTAGTAAAATGACGACAGATGTTCTGCTCAATCAATGTTTCTATCTTACAGTACATTTTTACTATCTAATGAACTTGTCAATTATCTAGTAAAATACGTTTCGCTTTTTATATAAAATTTATTCATACAAAAATGTTCTAATGAGATTCGATTGTTTTATTTATATATGTACCTATATGTATACTTACTCATTTTTTATTTACAATCGCAAGCAAAACATCTGTAAAAATATGTTGCATTAAAACACAAGGAATAAATCTTCTGTTATTAACATCATCTGCAGATAATAATCTATTCAATTCCAAAATATTTTTATTTTTGCGTATCTTTAGTTAAATAATTTAATTTTATTAAAATAGAGTAGTGAACTTGTAAAACATTATTATTATTATTAAAACATTATATCCTAGCCCCCTTGCCAAAATTATCGCTACGCCACTGCTTACCAGTATTGGATTTTATTATCTGGTATTACGATAGATAAATTATATATTTTTTTTTAATTTCTCTTTTCAAGTGCATAAAAAAGGCGATCACTCCCAAAGGCCCACCACTACATTATATTTTTGTGGTATGTATTCTGTAGTTACAGATACTGTATTTGTATTGTATTTTCATATTTTTAATTCAAATTTAAAACTAATACGTATAGTCAAAAGCTACAATTGTATTAGGAATGCAGCCAACCTTTATTCTGCAGGGTGGTAGAACGCCAACTCTTCTGTTTTTGGAAGTGATATATATGTTGCAATTTCACAAAAATGCACATGAGAATTGAATGTCAAAATCATATCTATTTTTAGAATTGAAACCAGTGTTGTTCAAATTGTAAGAAATGTTTGAGTATCATTGTCTTTAATACCTTTAATGCAACGAATCTCAAACTGTATTTTCAAATAGTATTTTTACGTTTGCAGTGTAAATTCACTTCACAAAATAAATTTTTATTTCTTTTAATACAAATATGTCCATATAATTCGATTTAGACGAACGTTTGTATATGATATAGTGGTCGCCAATTATTTACAGCTCCTTGCAAATTTAATCTTTTTATTATTATCAATAATAAATTTTATTATAGTTTTCTGATGTGACCATTATTATTACTATTGTTTATTTTTTTTCCATAGGTGGTGGTGAAGGTGTACATGTTGGCAGGTCGGAAACCAAATGATAAGATTTATTCTAGGCCTTAAATTCGTTTCCCAGTTGCTTCGCGTAATATTCTAACTGCATTGATGAACATTGCCTAGAGAACTTCGTATAAATAATTCGCTTTAAAGTCTGTACTTTATATAAAAGACACATATATGTCTTTTTTCATGTACTCACTATGGATCTACATACTGAGTAGGATGTTACCAAGTGTTGTGTTTGCTTGAGGTACGGCTAAGTGGTAATTATTTGTTTTTCTTGGTGGTTATTTTTTCTCGTACCGCACAAATTATATTACAAAGCAGTGGAATTATAAAATCTAAAATGAGGCTAAGGTTTTTATTTGGGGTATTCCATTTTCACTATCAGTTAGATTAAATCTGGTATACTGTTTATACTATTTTTGGTTGAACTATTAACGATTATGAATATATTTTAGTATATAAGTTTAGGGTGGAACTTAAAGTTTTTAATTTTCGCTATTTTTCTTTCATCAATCTTTCTGCATGTGATGTTAGAAATCGTTACAATTTACTTATTATTTGTAAAGCTTTTTCATTCGCAAAATATAATATCTCCGATAAAGGTCCAGGAAAATTAGTAATGGCTTTTTTATATGGGCGTTTCTTTTTCAATTTTGAGTCATCTGCCAAGACTACAAATTAGTTTTTCCCTATAACGGGAGGTCTAGGGGTTATAACTGTAAAACAAACAGGTTTAATTGCGTTTACCATATACCACTACTGAAGTAATACAGTAATATTATAATAGGTGCTAGATAAAAATAAACGTAGAACAAAGAGCGCGGAGCAGAAAACTATAAAAAAAATTACTACAAGGTTAGGTCACAAAAAAACAAATTCGCTATGTGTGCTATGTGTATTAGTGAGAGACATGAATAAATATATATGTATGCCATCTCATGACAAGGTATCATTTGTCTTCGGCTAGAAAATATTCCGTGTGGCTTTAATTTTTTAAGTCTTATATAAGTTATTTTGCAGAATTGGATACCTTTAATTTGTAGTTAACTGGCTTATGTGTAGCAACATAGACAAAGACTTTGAATTATTATATAGCAATAGTTGATCTTAGTAGTATGGTAAAAAATAAAAAATGTAAGAAAAAAATTTAAATTTAAAATTTTTTTTAACTTTTATCCGTATTAACTTAAATCAATCTCAATCTATTTTAGGTAGTCTAAAATCTCTATCAAGCAACGAAAGCCGATTTCAGTCAAGATGAGTTCAGAAGCTATTGCTAATCGTCTGTCAATAACGTCAGGTTCATCAAACATATCATTTGATGACAGCCAGTCGCAAATGTCTCGCCAGTCATTCCAATCGCGTCAGTCAGAATCACACGATGAGGATGAAGAACACGACGAAGATGACGACGATGAGAGTGATGACTATGATGAGATTCCACAAGAAACATTAATTAGAATACAACTGGAAGCATTCATAAAACGATTAAATTTATTCAAATATGATACACTCTCAGAAGACGAAAGAATAGTACATTTACAACCTTTTGAAGCTTATGAAATGTTTCAAACAATAGAAACTCTTGATGAAGAAATAAATAACGTAAAATTAGAGAACTTTGTGCTAGAAGATTATTTAATTAAAAATGATGAAAAACTCTTATTTGGCATTGAATCTAGACGAGATTCTGCTGCGAAAGAAGCAATGGGGCGGCGTTCATTCATGAGTGTTGGCGGCAAAAGCCTTGCCTTTAGTAAACAATCTCTAACAAAGTCTATAGGTGCACGTTCAGCTAAGCAAAGAGGAAAACAAAAAAGTCCTGAAGCACTCAACTATCGTTGTAAGTTAGAAATCACAGAAAAATTAGAAAGTGACATCGGACACGCAATTAATCTTGTAAAGTTGAAAGGTAATTGAGTTACTTAACAATCTTAATCATATATCTTATGAAAAATTATATGTAAAAAAATTTATGTGCATAAATAGCATTATACACTATGATACAAGATTGTCTTGTTTTATTCAGAATAATAAATTGGATAAAACTTGAATTGGTATTAAGATACTCATAAAAACTATTTCATAATTAAGCTTCGCTTTTGGAAGAATCAATCGCTTTTTGTACTTTTCGGACGAAAATGTCTTTAGTAACATATATCGGTCAAAGTCAAGTCAGTTTTTTTTCATTATTAATTTTAGTTTAGGAAGTCATCAAAAGTTGCACGAAATCAAATCAAGTGAATTTGATTGACTGTGAAAGATCAATAATATTGATTATTTTCCTGATCAAGTATCCATCTCCCTCCCATAATGGTTTCATCTGATGGTACATTATATTGCAACAAAAACCAAGTGATTGATTTTAAATATTCTAGACAAACCTTGAATATTGCCCACAAGCATTATGGAACTCCCAGATAATATTTTGCCTTCATCTTTCGATTTTGTATTATTGAATGAATTTACTGTGGATCTTTATTTAGTAATTGAAGATAATCAGCATTGTGTTGATTTTGTTAGTCTAGGTTTTTTGGGTTTTCTCTTGAATCTCATGCCACATTTTGATTTCGCCTTGTTTTGAAAATACCTCGTTTTATACCAAGTCACATTGGTTGACAATGGTTCAATGGTTTCTTTTAGGGTATTTTTTTTTAAAAGTTTTGCAATTTTGAACTTTTTACTATTTATAGTCGTGTGTCAGACTGTGTAGCACAAAGTGCTTACCGAAATCTTCAGTCAAAAACGCAGGGGTCGCTTTCAGGCTCAGTTAGTCGGTAGGTAACGTAGGTAGGTCAAATTTCGCTTTACTTTAAGGCTTAGTTAGTCTATACGTTTTAGCTGATTTTGTTTACATTTGAATAAGTAAACAAAATATTTTTAATATGTCCACGTAAAATAATCGCGAAATTATTTATTGGCAGTGACATATGTTTAGATTGAAAAAAAAAACTATTTACCATTTATGTATGCAAAACATTTTTATTTTATTCTATTATTTTATTTATATTTTGAGAAAATGAATCAAAATCGTAAACATCAAAAGTTCCAACCGGTATTGAATATTATTATAATTTATATTATATTACGAATTTTTGAAATTACGCGGGATATACCTAATGTTCCTTCGCAAATTTTAAAAATTAAATAAATATAAATATTGTTATAAAATAATTTGTTTTTTATTGCTTGAATGACAGATATTAACTGTTAGCACGTTCAAGCTCGGTTGCTAGAATAAATTTGAGCAAGAGAGCGCACAACTTGAATGACACTCAAAACTGCGAGTCTGCACCGCGCAGAGAACTGCAATGAGTACTCAACACTCGAATCATATTCAAATCATTGACTGTGTTTCATTTATATGCATTTTGACTCTTTTTTTCGTACATTCGACTCCACCTAATTCATACATACAGCTGACAGCACTTATAATAATTTATACTCTCTTCTCATATGATAAACATCGACATTCGACACAAAAGTGATGCAAATGATGTATGAATCATTCATGAGTATTACGTCACAGTCGGGAAAAATTTGTCTGTTGTTCTTTAATGTGCACACAATTTGCTACTAAAGCAACCGCACATGAAGTATTCAAAAACACAAACAAAACACATGCATTTGCAATGCTAACAACAACAGCAACACGCAAACTTTTTGCTTAGCAAACAAAATTCACACAAAATTTTTTCGAATGCTACAAATGATCGAGTGATTCATTTTCGATGAGTATATTCATACTCACCCTGAGTAAATACTATGATTCATGAATCATTTGCCATTTATGCTAATCTACTTAGAAATGTGTATGCATTTTTGTGGAGCTGAATCTTTAACGCTGGCATTCGTTAACGAACGTACTTATGAATCATTTCTGTGGCGAATGTGAATGCATATAAGTAGTGTATGAGATTTTTATAAATGCTTTCTGAGTGTTAAAATTATGAGTCGTTGCAGTTTCAGATATTGGCCTTTGTCGAATTCGATATATTATTTTATTATATATTTTTAGCAAAAGTGAAACACGGTCCGATGTATTTTTAACATGTTCTTTACTTCGCTTTATTAACTATACTAAAAATGAATAATGAATAATAATTACAAAAGGAATATAGAATAATGACAGGCCAGAGTTGCCAGGCAATTAATATTTAAAAAAGTACTTTACATAACAACACCCCCTCTTAAAGTGCTTTTATTATGTATAAAATATGACTTTAATATTTCATTCCTAATTTCCGTAAGCAATTAACATGCTTTTCTGTAGTGAGTCCTTTGGTAAGGACGTCTGCGGGCATTTCTTCTGTTGGCATATATTTGATTTTAACAGTGCCGTCGTTAACCTTGCTGCGAATAAAGTGATAACGAATATCAATGTGCTTTGTCCGTGGATGATACCTGAAGCTTTCCGTTAATTTTTGAGCGCTTTGATTATCATTAAAGATTTCAATTGTCTTACTTGTAATGCCAACATCATCAAGGATTGCCTTTAGATATAACGCTTCTTTTGTGGCCTCAGATATGGCCATATATTCTGATTCAGTGCTTGAAAGCGCTACTGTACGTTGCTTTCGAGCTTCCCAACATATCGCTGCTCCTGATATAATGAACGCATACCCTGTATATGAACGTCTATCGTTTAAGTCAGCGCCCCAATCAGCGTCAACCAGACCATACAATTCTTCATTGTTTTTCTCATACAATAGACCATAGTTGCTTGTACCTTTAAGGTATCTTAGAATTCGTTTTGCTGCTTTCCAATGTTCCACGTTATAATTTGAATTGAACTGGCTAAGAAAGTTTACAGCAAACGCAATATCAGGTCGAGTTGTGACAGCTAAGTACATTAATGCTCCTATCAAGCTTTGATAGGGATACATCTTCATAACACCTTCATCAATTTTTGTTGGTTTCGTTAACTTAATGTTCAATTCTATGGGAGTCTTCACTGGTTTACAGTCTTTCATATTGAACTTTTCAATGATGCTTTTTGCATACTTCTCTTGTGAAAGAAAAACTTGATGCTTGCTTAAATTTTGATGAAACTCGATGCCAAGACAATTACTTACTATTCCCAAATCCTTCATTTCGAAATCATTCGCAAGTGCAGCCTTTATTTCTTTTATACGAAACTTATTATTGGACGCTATTAGTAAATCATCTACATATATTGTCATCAAAACAATGTCGTTGCCTTCTCGCTTAGTGAATACACAAGGATCCTGTTGTACTGCACTTAGACCCATATTCTGTAGTTTCTTTGTCAATTTCATGTACCATGATAGCCCAGACTGACGGAGTCCATAAAGAGCTTTCTTTAATAAACATACAGGTGACTTACTTGATTTAATCGCCTTTAACCAATGCTGCGCTGTTTCTTTAACTTTTCCACACAATATTGTTGAAGTTTTTCCCACTGGTTTTGATGAAACAACTTTGTTCAGGAATGGTATAAGATAATCGGGAATTTCCATGAAGACACTCTCTTCGATCTCTCCATTTAGGTATGCTGTAATGACATCCATCTGATGGATCTCCAAATCCATTTTTGCTGCCAGTGCCGCAAGTAGTCTTATAGATGTTGAACGAGCGACTGGAGAAAACGTATCATGAAAGTCTTCACCTGGTCGTTGTGCAAAACCCTTCGCTACTAATCGTACTTTCTGTTTTCCGTCATCTTTAGTTCGAAGCACGAATCTATTCCCAATAACTTTTCGTGATTTCGGTCTTTCGACCACTTCCCATGTTTTATTCTTTAGTTGTGCCACCATTTCGTCTTCTAGCGCTTTTGACCAGGAATTTGTTTCATCGCTTTCAAGTGCCTCCAAAATCGTTACTGGAGTTTGGTATGTAGTGAGAAACGCCATTTCACAATCTTCAAAAACGTTGTTGTCAGGTTCATCATCTGAATGGTTTTTATCAGCAATTTTTCTTACTGAACTTGTATTTTCGTCTTCGTTGGATGATTCTTCACCATTCCGATTTGACGTGTAATATTCTTTTCGAGGCCTACCGCGTGAATTTGTGCGAATAAGTCTCGGGCGACCTCTTCTACGAATGGAGTTTTCTTCTCGCGTATCTGTATTTTCTACAATTTTCGGATTGACCGACGGTTTCTGATTTTCAGAATTTTCGAACGCAATATCGATATAATCATTTGTTTGGCAGTCATTTTCATTGTTAATATAAATGTTTTCGTATTTATTATGATAGATATTTTTGTTTACGAACACGACATCACGACTTATTGTTATATTTCGTTTTGTAGGTGACCACAGCCGATAGGCTTTTGCTTCGTTTGAATATCCAACAAACATGTAAGGTTCTGACTTAGAATCGAATTTATCTCTAGTCTTATCCTTTTTTAGGACATATGCTTTAGAGCCAAATACTTGAAAATGTACAATAGTTGGCATTTTACCAGTCCACAACTTGTGCGGTACTACACCGTTCAATGCTTTTGTAGGACACCTATTCCGAATATAGCACGCTGTATTTATGGCCTCTGCCCAAAAATTTGGCGGAACTTCAGCTTGTTTCATCATGCAACGGGCCATTTCAACTAGAGTTCTGTTTTTACGTTCAGCAATACCATTTTGCTCCGGCGTATATGGAGCAGTTAAGCGTCTTTGTATACCAAATTTCCTCAAGAATAAATTAAATTCAGAATTAACGTATTCTCTACCATTGTCTGATTGTAAAGCCTTAATTCGTTTACCCGTAAATGTTTCTACTGCTCTTTTGTATTGCTTAAATACATTTAATACATCGGATTTTTGTTTTATAAAATATACATGACAATAGTGTGATTTGTCATCAATAAATGTTACGAAATATTTTGCATCCGAATTTGATGCTGTTCTCATTGGTCCGCACACATCACTATGCACGATCTCTAATAAATCACTTGTTCTAGTTTCTTTACTCTTAGGAAATGGTTTTTGTATTTGTTTTTCACTAATACAAATTTCGCAAGTCGGAAGTTTTTGTTTAGGATTTAATTTTAATCCGTGTACTAGGTTATTACTAGCCAATTTTTTAAGATCGTTTTCATTTATGTGGCCCATTTTCTGGTGCCACTTTTCAATGTCACATTTTTCTTCAGCAACTTGTGCAAAATGATTTTTATTTTCAACAATAAAAAGATTTCCACATCTTTTCGCTCGAGTTATAACCTTCTGATATTTGTCCAATACGATTGCATCTGAAGGGCGAAAATGCACCTCATATCCGCTGTCTACTATTTTTGATACAGAAAGTAGACTTGTACGCAAGTCCTCGACATATAGAACTTCTTTAAGATCAATGTTATTATCACGACCGTATACGTCTACAGTTATTTTCATTTTACCGACGCCGTTTATATTTGTTGTGTTGTCGTTTGCTAAGTTAAGCACTTTATTCGATTTTTGAAAGTCTGTAAAATATTCACGGTTTGCACTTAAATGGGCAGTACATCCACTATCTAGGCACCAATAATTTTCTTTTATTGAGCTAATAAATGCATCTTCAGCATGATAGCTAAAATTATTGTTTACAGATTTTTCCGAATTTTTCAATTGCGTGTTATTTTCAGCTTTTGCTTTATTTTTACATTCACGTGCAAAATGTCCGATTTTGCCACAATTAAAACATTGTTTGTTTCGTTTAGAATCACTGTATCGTTTGTTTTGTTTTGCGTTTCGGCTTTTATTTCGATTTATGTATAGAGAGTTTTCATCACTATGTCTGTCTTCTTTTGTCCTTTGCGATTCAGCTTCTTCTAATATTTTCACTCGAAGTATGTCTGGCTTTGGCAGCTCGTCGCGCGTTTCTAACGCGCACCTGAAAGTATTAAAAGAGTCGGGTAGGCTATATAGGAGCAGTATGGCCAGAAGCTCATCCCCGATGGTGACGTCAATTTCCTTTAATTTTGCCACGGCTTCAAAAAAATCGTTGAGGTGCTTTCTAACCTTTCCACCCTCCTTCATGCGCGAAAGTGCAACCTTTTTCAGCAACGTCGCCTTGCGCGCAGGCCCTTTTGATGAATATGTGGCTTGTAGTTTCATCCACATTTCGTTTGAATTTGTGCATTCTGCAATTAATCTTAATTCTGATGCACTTACTGATAACATTATATCAGCACACGCTTTCTGATCAAAGCTGATCCATTTTGCAGCCGCTTCGCCCGTTGGACACGACGCAGTACCTTCGACATATGACCATAAATCGTTTTTTATGAGAATAGCTTTCATTTGTAATTTCCATGTATCGTAGTTTTCCGCGTTAAGCGGTTCAACTCGAATCACCGTTCCCGACATTTTTATACACGTATTAAATCTACTTTTTATGTGCACGTGCTTTTTACTTCGCAGTGGAAGCGTGCTGGGCCCATAACCTATTATATATTTTTAGCAAAAGTGAAACACGGTCCGATGTATTTTTAACATGTTCTTTACTTCGCTTTATTAACTATACTAAAAATGAATAATGAATAATAATTACAAAAGGAATATAGAATAATGACAGGCCAGAGTTGCCAGGCAATTAATATTTAAAAAAGTACTTTACATAACAACATATTTGTTTTTTAGAATAATGAGGCATACTCACTTGTTTGGTATGAACATACCCAAAATCATAGATTTACATTAAATACATTTTATAAAAATTAATATATAATACATTGATCTAATATATAATATGGTATATTCATAATACATTATTTATTTATGTTATTTAACAAAAAGAAAATCAATTCCATTAATTTTATAAATCGCTGCAATTAATATCCGTAACGTTTTTTTCAGGTATAACTGAATTGAAAAAGCATTTGTCTGTTATGCAGGAGTTAGAACTTCAAGAGGTCGATTTAAATACAGTAACAACTAACTTTCGCTTACGTTTCATTGAGGCCTTTAAAGATCCAAGACAATTGCTACGCTTATCAGAAGATCATCTCAGACCGTTGTTTTTTAGGTTTACTAAACATTATAAAATGTCTGCACAGCTATTGACTTGTGAAACGCGCCTCAAGGTGTCGTGCCTAAAGGAAGACTATGCAGCACTACGTGCGGATCTTGTTGCAAAAGCAGATTTAGCAAATGTTATTACTGCTATACATTTTGAACAATTATATATACAAGCTAGTACGTTTTCAAAAGCTATCAATGAAAAGTTGACACAAATGCAGCTACTTAAGATTGCTACGGGTGATTTAAGTATGACATTTGCTTTGGAGACTACACGTCTACAAAGATTGATGGGAAAAGTCCGTCGTTTAAATAATAAGATAAAGGATGCAATGACTATTCTTCGTCGCTTGGAAAGAGATAAACAAAATAATATAAATAGACGAGTTGGAGAAATTGATCGTTTACGCACTATGAGAAAGCTAGTAAGAAGATATACAGCACCTACTGTGGATGATTATATGATGACTAAACAAGAATATTTGGATGAGGAACAGGACGCATTGGCAATGGCACGTGCAAATGTGATACTTGCAATGAAACGTGACAATGCAATCAGGTTTTGTGAAGAAGTAGCAAAACGTAGAAGAAGAAAAAGGAGGGCCGAATTGAGAGGAGAGATTTAATCCTAAACTTCTACAGTTCAGCACAAATGAATTAAGAACCGTATATTTTATATAAATGAAATATATTTTTATTATAATCAGAAGTTTACTTTTCAGCTGTTGACAATTTGTTGTTATAAACTTATTTTCCGTCCATTAACTTGTTTTATTATTTGATTTATGTTTTTGTAGTTTTTGACCATTCTTGGCCTATTTTTTTTTTACATTAGGTGGAAAGCATCAAAAACCACCATGTGATATTTGAACGCACTAAAACGACCTCTTAGGAATGCATAGAGAATAGATTCCGAGCAGGGGACCATGCAGGACCATTCCCAGCGTCGGGCAGGGAATCTCATTCCAGAATACAGGGAAAGAAATGAAATAGATGATCAAAAACCTTAACATTTATGAAGTAAATATATCTAAGCGAAAAACAAATTGTGTATATGTTTAGAAATGGGTGATTGTAAATAAAATTAGAACAACTAGGATTAATGGATTATTTAAGGGTAAACTCGTTTAATGATCTCCTTTAAAAACACACCTTCTGCTCAAAAAGTATCCGTATTTTGTTGTTTGTTAATTACTCCTTAAGTAATAGATCTTTTTGCATTTTTTTTTTTGTTATGTTGGTACACCCTTTCTTGACGTGTGGTTCAAATTTGAGCGCCATCTGTCTATTAGTTTGTTTACAGCAGCTGTTAATGTGAAACTACTTCAAGTGCATTTAGCGATTTTTACTATGGATAATTCTTGTTGTATGCGATTTTTTGACCAAACACGGCACCACTGTCATCGCTCGGGCACCATATTCGCCAGATCTGGCGCCGTGCGAGTTTTTCCTGTTCCCGAAACTCAAATTGCCCCTTCGTGGTAAGCGTTTTGAGTCGATTGAATCGGTAAAAGAGAATTCGCCGAAGGAACTAAAAGCCATACCTGCACGGGCCTACGAAAAGTGTATGGAAGATTGAGTTAAGCGTTGGCATATGTGTATCGCTTCAGAAGGAGCATAGTTTGAAGGAGATAGAATAAATTTGGAATAAAATCTAAATTTGTGTGTTTTATTTACAAAACCCCTACTTTTTGAGCAGAAGGTACACTTAATGCATGCTCAACAGCGACTAGCAGCGCGGGGACTTCGTAAAGTATTATTATAATTGTTACTAATAATAAAAATAAGTTTGTTATATTAAAAATTGTTGTTTTACTTCGCTTGGTGTATAATCTCCTTAAAAGAAATAAATATATATAAACAGTTTATATGAACTGATGCTGTCGTTGGCATCAGTTTTATTGAATTTAGACATACTTTATTGGTTTATTAGTTTAGGTTATTAATTATTGGTTTCTATTAGTTTATTAATTATTTTCAAAGATATTATTATCAATATTTGTAAGTAAATTATATTATTATTCCTAATTATTCCTAATCATTATTCCTAATTAATTTTTTTTTTTTTGGTGATCAAATAGCTGCTTTTAATAATGTCAATTTTCCATCATCAGTGGACTTTTGCAATAACTTCTTATTTAATTATATGTAAATAATTCTTTTTGGAGCTGCAATTACTAAATTTTGAACTTGAGGCTTGCCTAATTTGAAGCTGAGTCAGTATTCATTACCCAACTGACCCCGAGCCGTACTTAACTTGTATGTTACAACTTGGAGTTTTCTTAATTTGCTGTCAAAGTCTATTGTCAAATTCGTTTGCTGTGTTATATTAGAACGAAATGATAAACCAGCTGTAGATTAATTGAATTAATTAATTATATTTATTTTAATTGTAAAATTTGTATACTATTCTGTTGTATAATTATATATTGCATGATTTTATATTATTCTTTGTTGTGTACGGAACCTAATCTAGGAACGTGATACAAAGATAGTTATGATGATGTTATTCTACGATTCGTACAAGCGAGATTGGAAACTTGAGTAATATATTTTATTCATATTTATTTCTATAATAATTCTATATTAAATTTTAGTTTTAACATCACTTATGACGAAAGAAACTATCGCATTTAATAGAGAGGTTTCACAAAACAGATTTACATTTTATGTACTTGCATATACATATAAAACATCCAATGAAACTTCTATATATCGATCATGTACTATGGCTATAAAGAATTGAATATTTGCTAAAAATTATATGCGTACCACAGAACCTAGTTAAAGTAATATGTTACACTAGGGTGGCTCAAAAAAAATGTTTTCTTTTTAATGATCGCACCCCCTAGGAAAATGCCATTGACCAAAAAAACGATATTCCTGAAGTTTTGGAAAAATAGGATCTAAAATATCGTTGCGCCACTCGAACAAACTTTAGGTTTTCAGTACAAAAATAAAAATTTTTCAATTTAAGTTTATTTCATTCCTTTGTTATAACAAAAGTTCTAGAGCATGAAGTGTTACTAACTTCATCTATAGGATATTTTTTGAATAATACATTTAATTGTTTTGACGATAGAGCGTAGAGTGAGATAATTTAGCCGAATGATTGATAACGTTATGTAAATTTTGGATTACAATACATATGTACTACGATTTATAAAAAATATTTACAAGAATTAATTTTCGAACATCTTTTTTTTTTCAATAATTAATAAATTGTATTATTATTATATTGAGGCTAGTTGAGTCAGTGCACCTGAGCACTTTTACTCTCTATTAACTGCGAGGTTTCTTCAAAACCCCTCTTTACGCCTTGACTAGATTATTGTTTATCACTTCATCAGACTAAGCAATAATTGACCTCAGATCTGCATACCTCCCCGAGGAACCTGTAACCATTCTGAGATTTTATAACGCGGTGTTGGTAAGTCTGTCAGATTTCGCAAATAATTTCAGGGCTCCATCCTTTATGTATTTTTTGATGAGATCAAAAATCTGATTTGTTGTGTGAAGGATAGTTTTTATGATGGTGTTTGACTACTAACACCACATATTGTTTTCCCCTTTTTCAGAATCGAATTGAAATCTATTTTTTGCAAAGTACAAAAGCATCCTCCAAGTTTCTTCTCAATGAAATGACAGGATACCTTGTTTATACCAGTATTGGTTACTGCAGTATCGAAGCACATGCCTTCGACTTTCTCTAAAAACGACCAACTGCCTCAATTTTCATAAACTTTATCATCAATTGCTTTCCCACTACTGGTGGTGACAACACGCAGAAATACGTAGCAGTTTTTTAATATTATTTCTGGAAATAATAACAGGCAACCTTACTACTGCGTCATGGCTACTTAGAGCTTACAAGAGTTTTCCGTCAAAATGTACTATTAATCTATAGTTTCAAGTAACTATAATTTAATGAATTATTATTTTACATTAACTAAAAAAATATGTTTGGAATGTACTTTCGTATGGAACTCATCTTTAATCTTATTTGCTATTTCCTCACAATACTTCCGACAGAATCATTGAAGCGTTCGACAACTTATAGCAGGATTTTTTATGCGATGACCTAATGCATCAGCCACTCGAGCCAAAATATGAACAGAGAGCGTAACGATCCGAAACCTTGTATTTGTCAAAGGCGGAAACTTACCTAGGAGCTATAAATTGAATTGCACTACCTGCATTATTCCAATGTTGTTCGGGATAAATCCCGAAACTCTTCATTGAATTCATTTCAATTCAAATCAGTGGAATTATAATCATGTTCAAGGAAGAAAATATATTCATTAAATATATGAAAAAGTTACAAGCGCTTGCTTATATGACTTTCGCATACTATTATAATCTTCTGATTTAATATGTTCAAGTTTTCTACGCTCTTCTTCCTTTAGCCGTTTTTGTTTCGTTTTGGTAGAATGATATCAACTCCAGCTATACTCCCTGGACGACCATTTCTGTCTGCTTACGAAGAAATTTCTCATCTTGACTACATTTACATATTTGCAAAAATATCTACATAAAGAGGTTTTTTCGAACAGTAGTGAAATACAACAACAAAAATTTTATTTTTTATATTATTTTAATTAATTGAATTTTTGGCTGACCATACAACTGTTTCGAGTATTGCCAAATACCCATCATCAGTGGTCTCGGAAATAATTCTTGTATTTAATTATTCGTAAATAATTATTTTTGTGACTGCAAGTACCAGGAATCGAACTCGGGTCCTGCCAAATGTGAAGCTCAGAAATATCTACATAAATTGTTAACTAGAAAATTATTATTTTTATTTTTATTTTTTATTTACGTTTCTTCTAAACATTTGCGATTGCGTTCTGCATTACAGCTAAAAATTATAATAATTGTGTTTTGCGCGTAATTTTTAGCCAATTTTGCTCATCAATATCTTATTAAAACATATATTGATATCTATCAAATAAATATATGTTATTAATTGTTAAAATAACTAACAAAGGAATAAAATGAACTTAAATTTCTGTTTCTCCAAAATTTCGGGAATATCTTTCTTTTGATCAATAGCCAGCCTAATATTACATTATTGTTGATTTCACTCAATTTTTTTTTTAGTGTATAATTTCAATCCCTTTATACAAATTTTATTTGTATAAACTAACTCATGCAATGTGCATAACAACATCGTTTTTGTTTCAAGTTTCAAGTTTGTAGTGTTTTTGTTTTTGTGTGTAGTTTTACAACTTATTGTGCCCGTAAGAGTGCATTTTGCACAAGACAAAAGTAAAAAATAAAAGATTTTATTGAAGAAGTAGTACAAGTTAACGTACTATAACATACGTCAAATCTTTTTTCTGAATGTTTTAATAACATAGATCATATTCTCATTACATGCCAGTACTTTAGTCTTCAGTGTTTTGGTATTTAATGTAATACTTTGTTTGCACTTATAATTAAAGAATCTTGTTAACATATTTTTGTATGGATTTCGTGTAGAAAATGTCACTTGTTGCTTTGAATATGTGCAGGTGATTGCTAATTGAATGTACACTGACTTTCTTACTTACTTACTTACTGCTGTCCTTCTCTCCTAGTGGAGCATAGGGTCTCTTTAAGTACACTTACCTATTTCGAAAAAAGTTAGAAATAAGAACTAAGAATTTTTTTTGTTTTTGTGTTTATTTGGAATTAGTTTGTTCTTTTAAATTCCATTTCAACGTTTTTCTTGGGTTTTGCTTATGTTTCTTATTATTGAATTCAGTAAAATTTTCAAACATTACTTCATTTTATG